GTCTAATGCTGAGGCGGCTGTAATGGGCTAGCCTAGTTTCTCAAATTTGTTGCATCTCTTCTCTCTCCCTTATTTCTAGGTAGATTGACTTCTTAAGGCTCATGACTTTGCATATACTATTGTAGCCTTTACATAGGAGGTAACTGTTAGGCCCTATTTCTAAGCATTAAAGGCCAATTCTGTCAAACACACTAGAGGACCTTTGAAATCCACGCTCCTTTGTATATTCTGAAGGAAAATTATTTTTCTTTTCGAACAGTCATCAACAAATCGATTGGAGGTGTAATTAGTTGACATTTCCACTTTCACATCTCTTCCAGTTGAGCTAGCCTATCTCATTTATCTATGAAAGTAAGCCCTTTGGTTATGTTCTTTCATGTCTTGTTAGAAAGCATCTTGCTAAAGCACTTGATGCCGAGCCTGTCCTTACATTTGCATAACTAACTACTATATGGCAGTATTATGTTGGGCTACACTCCTCATGTTCTTTAGCTTATCTTGAAAGGCATGCAGTAGAGCCACTGCCTCTGCGATGCTAGTGATGGGGTCTGCAAATGTTGACATTGGTCTAAAAGACCTCTTTACAAAGGCCTTCCATTCATCCCTTGCATGGGGATATACAATGGATAGAACTCATAGTATATCTACTTGGATATTACACAATACTCTAAATAGCACTTCTTCTGTACTTCCACTTCCTTTTTTTCCTGGGGGAAGCTAGGATGTTCCTTTTAGTAGCTTCTACCACAAGGATATTTAGAGTTATAATGTGGTTTCCTACAGACGGCACTAATCCGTTGACCTTGATTTTTATACCTCCAACGTGGCCAACACATCCCAAAGCCTCATGTGTCTATGTAAACCTGATTCCTACAAACTTGGACAAACTGTTAGTCATAAGTAGTTTACTTCGATGGTGATGGAGTTGGCCGTGCGAACTCTGATGATCAAGTCAGGTATAATACTAAGTATATGAGTGTAGGAGGTGCTTTAGACATAAGCATCCAATGTAAAAAGGGAGATCGACTTTGGGGAGATTACGTGATAATTACAGTAAGGACAACAAAGTTATAGTTTGAGAGTCTAAACATACATTATCTTTTGATAAGTACATTGTGTGAGCTTTTATAGTAAAATAAGATGGATGCCAAACGTGGTATGAAAGTATATATGGCCTCATCCATGCAGTTGTGGCCTATTGTCAAATGTATCAATCAGTCATAAACATTTAATGCTAATACTATTTTGCAGTCCATAAATCTAATACAAGGTTAAACTTGACATGATTGACTAGATAGGGCAAAAGTAATGCTGAATTGTTACATCAACCACTTATTAAGGATCACATAAAAGAATTCCTGCCAAGCCCCTTATAGCCTCATCCCTGTCATGAGGGTTTGGTTCTCCATATGGGGTCGACTCTTGCAAATGAGTTCTATTTCCCATATAGGTTCGGCCTCTTCATGGGGGTTCAACCAAACTACTTCTAGGGCAGAGTGAGGGCCTAGATTCACCATTAAGCCTTGTCCATATTTATGTAGATCCCACAAATCTTCTAGGTATCGGGTCCAACTATTACTGCTGAATCAATATTCAGTTTCAGCGTCTCTTTCCGATGGGAGTGCCACTTCATATCGCGAGAAACGTCAGTAGAAATATTACTTCCTCGACCTTCCACCGTGAGTCTCACCTTCAGATATTCCAATCCAGTGTTTTACAAGAATTTGCAAAACAAATTTCAAAATTAAGGTAACCTGTCTATTAAATTACAGATCCGTGATTTTTACTGAGTGAATGATCAAGTCAAAATTCATAACTATTGCCTGAACAATTGATAGCATCGAGGATCCAAGTCTGACTAAAGTTTGGTTGGATTATAATAGGTGGGGGCCATTTCAATTTGGGTCTATGAATAATGCACGGTCAAGTGGCATAATTTTGGTCAAGGTAGGAATATTATCACTGAACCTATTTCTAGCACATCAAATCAAAAGATATATCTTTGGCATGGGTGGTTCAATAATTATCATTCTGCTGCATCAAACTTAGCTTTGAAATTAAGTAAAAACATCTGACTAATTGTTAAAGTTCTTTTACTAGTCTATCAATAATTATAATGTTAAGATTCCACTTTTTTTATTTTTATTTATTTATTTATTTTGTTTTAATCATTTTGTGTGAAAAATTAAAGATACAATTTTACCGTTCTTGAAATGTTTACTATGTGATCAAAATAAATTTTCCTTGTCACCAAACGGCAATTTGGATAGAAACTATCCATTTGTCCTCCAGCCACATGTACTTGAAAGGTTTGAGATCCCGGGTGCTACAAATAAAAGATTAAGGTAAAACATGTAAAGATTTGAAAGGTTTAAGTTGGTAACTGCAATTATCCCTATTTTATTTCGACCACCCTAAATGTACAGGGTTATTTTTGTCAGATATTTTATAGGTACTCATATCGATGGGGCCTGCGTTAATTTTTTTTTTTTTTATACATGTGGGGCCCTCGCTACAGTGAGGGCCCCTGTATAAACCCTGTAGAAAAAGCTTCCATTTTATTTTAAGCTAGCGAGGGCCCCTGTATAAACCCCGTAGAAAAAGCTTCCATTTTATTTTAAGCAATCGTCCATACTAAGTTGTCATTCAGAAACTATTAAGTAATCTTTAAAAGACAAATTGACCCTCAAATTTAAATATACTGAAAAATATGGGTAAATTCCATTAGGCGCCCCAAACCTTTAGCAAGTGTGGTACACATGTTCCCAATCTACTATTTATTATACTAATGTCTCCAACATTTTAAAATTATGACATCCATGACCCGAATAACAATAATATTTCTTTAAATGTTAAATGATCACGTAACACTCATGGTGTCGAGCTAACATAGTGAAATTGTTGAAAAAAAAAAGGTCCTTTATTTCAAAACAGTCCAAACTCTAAATTCAACTTTTATTTAAAGATCCTAATTGGATAAAATTCCCCAACGTTGATGAAACATATCACCTTACTTCAACACATGCCCGACACACGTGAGTGTCACGTGGCAATTTAACATTCAGATAGATGTGTTCTTATCTAGAGAAATGATTCAACAATTTTAGAAAGTCGGGAACATAAATACCACACTTACAAAAAGTTGGGGACCCTCGGTGGAATTTACCCAAAAATAAATAAATACTGGAAGAAGGCAACGAGAAAAAGAAAAGCATTGTACCTTGTGGTTGTGGGCATTTGCTTTTCAGACAACAGGACCAGTTGTTGCACACGTTCTTTTTAATTTTATTTATATTAAAAAAAGAAAAGGTTGAACCCCAATCTCGAGAGTCCCCACCGTCTCGACCCTAGAGATTTGTGAGGGCGGTAAATTCCGGAATGTGCCTCAGCAGGCTAGGGAACAAGAGCTGCCTGTAATTTGCGCCTACAAAGAGTCCAATTTCATGTCTCAATAATCGAACCCTTACACTGCGACCGTCAACAAGACGTAAAATGACCTCACTCCGATTATTTATATTCATATGACCTCTGCAAATATATGTCCAATTAAAATATTGAACACAACCGATAATTTGTATGGGATCCTGTTGTCCACAAATTAAGTACTATGATCCTATATATATATATATAATATGACATGCTTTAAACAAATTTAAATATCATCCTTTGTCACTGAACTTTAAACAAATTTTCAATACCAATTTACAAATAATTTATAGATTCAATCAAAGTCAAATATTGATTTCAATCATGCAACCATAACCAATCTTCCACATAATTGTTAAATGGTTTTCTAGAAACGAAATGTTAAAAAAAATGATTATGAAAGTATGTTTAGATTAAAAAATTTTAATTGTTTATTTTTATTTATTTAACAGTTTTTATTCGTGACTTAGTGGTAATTGGCATTGCAACGCAAATTTATTGTGGTATTATAACTAGTTAAGCAATTTTCATCTATATATGATATGACACGCAACAAGATGGTTGAAATTTGAAACTAGAATGAAGTACGATGATTCAATTGAAATTAATTGAAGTTTAGTGATCCAATTGAGACAGATTAAAGTTTAATAACCCAATTAAACTTTCATTAAAAGTTTAGTGGCCACAAATGAAATTTTCAGCAATAATGAACAAGAAAATTCTTTGGACCACCACTAGCGCATTTGTAAACTGGATAGTGAAAAAATTACATGTTTGATACGTAGTATCAGATAAATATAGTGATATAACGAATAAAAATTTTACTTTCCCTTCTTTAATAATTAAATATTTTGGGCTTAGCTAAACATCTTCTTAAGTAAACATGCTCCATTTTTTCAAAGACTTCAATAAGAAATTAAACTCTGTTTGATTCTCATTCTTTTCTTATTAAAATGAAAAATATGACCATTATCCATTACATCAAACTACCAAATTTAAATTTCTATCTCTTGTGCGAAACTCGTAATGATTATATTTTTTATTTTCATTCCTCTAAAAATGAGAAATAAATGGGGCTTAAGTCTTTTTGTTGAGATTGAAAATAAATTTTTAATAAATTTTGATAAAAATTAATAAATATATAGTTGAAAAATTTTAAATTTCATGAAATATATTATTAAAATTTTGGTCCTAACAAAATAGTTACTAAAAGAATTTTGAATGGATCGATAACGAAACATCAGATTGCCAAATGACTCATTTCCTTACTTTTTTCTTTTTCTTTTTCTTTTGTCCCTTTCTTATTAATTTTTGTGTGTTTTATTATACTTATTCTCAGAGGGTCTCAACATTCCTTGTTATAACGAAGTGTCTTAGATTCAAATATTTAAAATTAAGCCTCCGTTTAAACCACATTATTGTAAAAATAAAAATGAAAAATATAATCGTTATGAACTTCACACAAGAGATAAAAAATCAAATACTGTGACTTCATGTGATAGATAGCCATCATATTTTTCATTTTAACGAGAAAATAATAAGACTGGAACAGGGCCTAAAAGTTCAAAACCAAGTTAAAGAAGATAAAAATAAAAAGATAGTCTTGAAAAATACACATGATTCCATATCATCAAAACATAAAGGACAAAAGGAATGAAATAAAAGTTTTCCACTTTTCCAGCTACCTTATCGATACATTTCCAAGGTTCTCAAGAACTCTCCCATCATTAAGGATCTTTGAAGAATAATTAATATTGATGGAGAAAGCTTGAAAATTATTCATAATTAAGCCTGAAAATTCATCTGAAAATGATAAAAGTAAGACTCTTAATTTCAATGATGAGAAGCACTACTCCTGAATGAACCAAGGGCCTTTGCTGCTCCAGCTCTCAATATAAACTGGTGGTAGAATGCTGCAACGGCTGCACCGATAAACGGTCCGACCCAGAAAATCCACTGAAAAAACATATACATGTAATTATTAGATTAAATAGCACCAATTATGGGTCATCAAAAGACCTTTTCAAGACAGAAATTTTCGTTATAGTATACGTTTAATGAGAAGTAACTAAATTTAATTTGAAATATATGTACTAACGTGATCGTCCCAAGCCTTGTGCTGGTCGTAGATTACTGCGGCTCCAAGACTCCGAGCTGGGTTGATGCCCGTTCCGGTGACTGGAATGGTGGCCAAATGAACCATGAACACTGCAAATCCAATTGGAAGAGGTGCCAATACCTAGTATTTTCGAAATAATAATGGCTTCGGCATAATTAGTATGTTGAATTTAAATACATTAATGGACATCACTATAGAAGAATATTTTTTTTTGGTAAAAAATTTATCCACTAATGTATCATGAACCACGCTACACGACCCGCGCAGGTGACCGCACACACATACACATGGCATCGACATTTTTTTATTCAATTGGGACCCGTGCATCATGTGAGGGTGCAGTCATCGGTGTAATGAACGGTGCGAGTCGTTTAGCAAAATTCATGTATCATTGTCTACTGTTGTATATCACACGATATCCCCCACAAGCGTGGAATTTTTTTTAGTTCTAATAGGGCCCACAAAAGTTTTCTACTAATATTGCTATCTAATCTACGAATCCATGTCCCCAAGGTAAGATTTTACAATGGTGTTATAGTGCTAGATATGTTGACAGGTTGACATAATACCATATAATTTTCTATCATTAAATTGTTTAAAATACGAACAACTTTCTCGTCAAATCATCTGCTGTCACCAATACCTCTTTCACTGCATCGGTCAAAATCGTTCTCACAAAGTGGTATAATCCAAAGTTTCATGGTCCATAACGAATTAGATAAACCAATAATATCTCTTGTACTTTTCTTGATTCATTGCATCTGTCACCAAGGTAAAGTCCCCTTTGGTACATTAATTTCTTCATTTCACTTACAACCACATAATACTGGCAAGTGCCCCAGTTGTACAGCATATTGCAATTTGGTATGGGTCACATTCAATGGTGGACTCAGGACGGAAGTGCAGTGGGGGACAAAACCAAAACACCGTGGGAAAAAAATTGAAAACCTACAAAAACTTGGAGAAAAACTAAAAATTTGAAAATCGAGTGGGGGCGGCCGACCCGCTGGGTCTCAAGTAGGTCTGCCCCTGCTGACCCCTACTACTAATCTTTACCGAACTTGAATCGAGACAGCAAAAAAAGATACATCTTTACTTATCTAATTATAATAAACTCAAAGGGAATTTAAATCTATATCAAGTTAGATTTTAAGTCAAGTCAACAATTAATTTTTAATCACATATTTCACAATATTCTAAGGCTTAATCACTTGAGCAAAAATTGAGCTCATAGAAACTTACAGGGACGTGAGAATCTCTGGCACTACGCTTTGGATCAGTGGCGGAGAAAACAGTGTAAACAAGGACGAATGTTCCGATGATTTCGGCAGCTAACCCGACGCCGGTGCTGATCCCATCGGCCAGCACGTTGGCGCCGCCACCGTATTTCTTGTAGTATGATTTCTGAAATGCCTTGACCAAACCAACGCCGCAGATGGCTCCCAAACACTGTGCCACCATGTACATCACTGCCCGGATCAAAGACACTTTCCGGGCCAAGAACAGGCCAAAGGTCACTGCTGGGTTTATGTGCCCCCCTGCATGCACACAGATCACTCAAATTACACCATTTTTATTGGAAAAATTAATTGAGCATGTAACTTTATCATGTCAGATATCAAGATTAATTGTGGCACATAAGCCACCATCTTGCTGATCATGTTAAAGGGTAAATCAAAATGGTTACATATGAAAATAGTAACAAAAAAATTAACTCTTAAGATGGAATCTCGAGTCTCAACAAAATAAAACTGACCAGAAATTCCAGCAGTGCAGTAAACCAGAATGAAGATCATGCCACCAAAGGCCCATGCAATACCAAGAATTCCAACCCCATCACACTGGTCACCCTTCAAGTCGGGATCAGTCTGGCTTTTGTACCCAATTACAGTCAAAACTGTAATGTAAAGAAACAGCAAAGTGGCTATGAACTCAGCTATTATAGCCCTGTAAAATGACCATTTTGTCAGCTCCTCCGCGTCGATGAGCGGCGCCGGAGGCGGATCATGGTAGTCCTTGGTCGTGAACGACCCGTGCTCCGCCACACCTGCGTCCTTTGTCATATGTGAATATAGGTACAGAAAATGTGTGTGCGTTTGTGTGTATCAAGAAAACTCGTGAGAAGACTACAGGAGTGGTATTTATTGAGTAGAGTCGTGGGGATAGATTTTGTAATAAGAGATTTGGTTAATTTTAGTTAATTAATTATAAGTGAAAAGGTGGAATTCCATGGCTACCACTATAATTCTGATCAATTTTGCTTTCACCGACCCACCCGACAATGTCTCGCACCATTTTTATTCTGGTAAATTTCACTTGCAGTCATTGAACTTTTAAAGTAATCTCAATTAGGTGACTAAAGTTTAAGTTATCTCATTTAAATCGATAAACTTCAATTTTTATTAGGATTTCACCCTTGTCACCTTTCGCCACTTATCGTTCCCAAAATTATGTGTAGCTGACGATTGATACTATGCATTGCTCTAGAAATAAAAATAAATTAAAAATAGAGCAGGAGTCAGTTATTTATATCAATCATTCCCTGTGCTATGATCGCTAATTAAGCTCTCGTTTGGCCCCCCATTATCATCAAATCTTAATAAGTAGAATAATATTTTTTTTTCTTTTTTAGAATGGGTGATTGAAAAGAAGGAATTTTTTTCAATCTACGTGTCATATTATTTTATGAAAAATTGTATAGTTGAAAATAAGAGGAAAAAATAAAAAATTAAATTAATGGAGGCCTAATGAGGGTAAGTATTCAACAATTTGAAGATGACAAGAGACAGTGTCATAAAATTTGAAACTAAAATTGAAGTTAGTGATTTAATTGAACTAAATTATAATAGTGAAAGTGTTTTGAAAAATTTAACCATTTTTCTAGCATGCTTCGTTGAAATTTAAATATCTTTTTTAGTTTATTTGTAATGAAATAAGTGTATTTTGAAAACAATTATTAATTGGCTTGCTAATGTCTAATATTATTATCGAAAGGATATATTAATGCTTATAGATTTAATAAAAGTTAATAGAATATGTAATTGAAATATTGTGAGGTCCAATAAAATATGTTGGTAGAAATTGATTTTTATTCAGATTTTAATCTACTTTTGTAACTAAACCAAACATGAACTAAGTTACTATATATAATTTGGATAATTAAAAAATTAGGATATGCCCTAAAATATGTTAATTAAATTCAACTCAATATGGATTTTGTCAAACACAGAGAAAAAATAAATAAATGACAGTTAAAAGTAGTGTGAGAATTTTTCAGATCAAATTTCATAGTGACCAGCTTCTATATTTCACCCTTTTGGGGTGTGGAAATAAAATAATTTTTTTTTAAATTATACTTCTCACAGAAATGAAAAATAAAAAAATAATAATAATAAAGGAGTTGTTTGAACCTCATTTTTCTCAAAAATGTATTTTGAAATAGTGTTACAATGGAGAATGTATATTTAAAAATTAAAAAAAAAATTAAATTTGCGAGTAATATTTATTTTATTGATGAATGAGTAGTTGAAATAATATTAAGGGCCTGTTTGAGCCACATTTATAAAATAAAATAAAAAAAAACACATTCTTCAACAGTGATTTGATATCATTTCAACCACACATTTTTCAATAAAATAATATTACACGCAAATCCAAAACTTTTCATTGTTTCTTAACCATATATTTTTCATCAATACACTATTCAAAAATACATTTTTATTCTAATAATGTGGCTCAAATAAAGATTAAATCACTGTTAAAAAATGTATTTTGATGAAAAATATGACAGCAAAGGCAGAGAACAAAAAATGTCATTCAGACACACACCAAATTAATAAACGTGTCGACATTTTACCTCTTTCGAGTTGGAGAACAATCCAGAAAAGACAGGTGGAAGCTCTTGAATCTTCGATCATGGATCCCATAATGATTTGGTCGGTTCTGTATGAAGAAAATTTTGTGATCGACAGAGACGTACCCACCCAATAGTTAAATTCTTTTAGACATAGGTATGTTTGGAAGAGCTTATAAGTAACTTATAATTGAAACTAGGTTCATCTTGAATCAGTTTAGTCGACTCGAAATGTAAAGTACGTCAGCAATGTTAGAACTTTGATAGAAATCAGATTTACCGTCAAAACTTATTGCTATCTGTGCCGATTAATTTGAGAATGTACTCATTTCAAAAGTAATATTTGCACACTCAAACGAGTCGTACAAACACCACTGCGAAAACACAATTGCTGGTTGATAAGAAAAATATTTGAAAATATATATGAGTTGAAAATTAAATCCTTATTTTTTATTATTTTAAAATTTTTTATTTTTCATACTCATTTTCAACCACAAATTTAAATAATAAAAGTTTTACAAATAAATGCAAAAAAAATATTTCTTACTTTTTAACCAACATTCTACACAATTCAAAATATCTTTTTCCCCAATTTTTCTTTATAATGACCATCAAACAGGAGCTAAGTAAGAACATACTTTTAGAAAAATTATCTTATAGGTTACATATATTTACTTAAAAGCTTACTTACACGAGTTGATTATCGTTATTTGTTATTGGCGAATTTATTATTTGAATCGATTTTGTTGATGCATAAAAATGTAATAAGATTTCTTGATCAAGTTAAGGAGAAAAAAGGGTGTTTATTGCTAATAAAATTGGAACAAAGTACATAATTTGTGTAAAGAGAAAATATTCAAAGGCAATGAGGCTCTGCCTTGGGAGAGGGCCACTGGTTCCTATTTATAGGAAGAAAGACCATACCACTTGGTCGTCTCATATAGCTACTATGTCGTCCTTTACCACTTATCCGAGTTTTTGTTGTTTTGATTGGCTACTGAGGTCAGGCTCGTCAGGTCATGGTTATGTAAATTTCAATTGTACAATAAAGTAAAGATGGCTTGACATAAGTAATCATTAATCGTAGGTGATTAGTAATAAATGAGGTGCTAACGTCAAGGTCATCAAGTGTCACTCTTCGAATGGTAGATGGAAAGGCATGCAGAGTGACAGTGATTAGGCATCATTATGTTTACAGTGATCGTTGGTCCGATCTGACCTAGTGGCAAATGTGCCCGATCTCAGTGTTTATAGTAGGCATGGTGAATTGAAAATAGTTATTTTGATGAGGTGGGAAGTCGATCTCCAGCAGAATTTAAAATAACTTTTTATCCATTTTTTAACCACATCAATTATATCAACTTTATTTATTAACAATCTACCTAAAATATGCTCTAAGAATAAAAATCCAGTCGTTGCAAGTGGGAGACATTATTATCAAATTTCTCCAATTGCGTAAAAGAAACTCTTGCACTCCATAAAAACACAATCGAGCACTGTTATCCACATTACTCTTTCTTCGACTTTCCCGTAAATCAAATTTGAACAAATCCGAAGAACAAAGGCAAATAAATATAGAGAAAACTACCACATAGAACTCTTTGGGGTCACCACTTTATTCTGCCTAAATTTTGCGGACACCTTTTTGTGAATAATGCATTTCAAAGGCCATAACAATCAAAATGGTTTGTGAACAACGCATTTCAAAGGCAATGGCAATCGAAAAGGTTTATGCTTAGTTTCGTTTATTCCAGTATCTACTCTCCTCTTTCCTTCCATTTTATACGGTTGATTAATAGAGCCGATCTCATGTTCATAGCGGATAAAATAACAATTGCACATCGTTGACTTGGAGTTGTCACATTAACGATTAAGTCATATGTTTTTACTTTTTAAAAGGAAAATTTTTTAACTTACTAACGTGGCAATGTCATATATATTAGTGGGTTGGAGGTATTATAACTCATTCTCACTGTGGGTATGAGATTATTTCTAGGTTGATTGGTATTCAAGTATTTTTAAAAGTTTATAATTTTTTAAATGTTAAACCATGAAACCATAACTATAGAAGAGCTTTTAGCTACATTTGCACCTCCTAGCTAAAGTTTCCTTCTTTAGATCGTTCTTCTTGTCTCTCTTTTAAGTGCCTCCCTCTTTTGAGAAATGAGAAAATATGAATAACCTAATTCTTGAGAAATATACCCATTAACAACTATTTATAATACTCAATTAGAGTTTCATACTTTCACAATTTACCTTGGTCTTTATTATAGTAGGTCATTTAAGTTTCACAACTATAATAGAGCCAAGCAGGGGATCGAATTAGATTCACGAAACTCAAACTCCAATAGATCTTTCTAATTGGGTTAATTCTAGACCAATTAAGATATATTTAGTAATTCCGGCTCATTCTACCAAAGAGTAGAAACTGTATTCTTGAATCGAGTGACATTTATTGAAGCAAATCATGAACCAATTATCTTTTAATCATCATTCCACAAGTCAACCCCATTGAACCCTTAACATGTTAGAATAAAAAAATTAATCGTTTTGCCCTTCCAACATGTATAGGCCTTTAAGTTCCATTTTCACAAAGCCAAAGTCCAACAATCCCATTTTTGGACTACTGAGCTCAAGTTCAAATACCAATAGAGAATGTTTCGAAGTGACGATCGTCTCATCGTAATAATTAACAGATTCCCCTATTGCAAGTATGATCTCCCGATTCCTAAAGTATCGAGATCGATCTTTCAAGTAATACTTTACTGATTGGTACCTCAAAGAACTTGAACTGTCAATCAAATATATATTATTCGCTCATGATTCAGGTGACTAGTTTGATGATTGACTAGAGTTTCATTTCTAGTGATGACAAATAAATCATCAATGCAGTCATGTTCAGTGTGCACCAAATAAATCAATGTTCTTATTCTCAATATATAAACAAATCTCAATAAAAACAATGCAATCTTATAAAAATAAAGCAACTATCTTTATGTATCAATTGTGAATGATATATTTTGATCGCGTCCCAAATTATGTCTCATTATACTCGAACCATCAAATATGCAACTTTTGACATCTTATATGATCATGTAACTTCATATTAATATTACGATTAGACAAATCATATCTCATAATGGTGTTTACAAATATTAGTGGAAGGGAATCAAACTAACATGTGTATCAGACGACAAAAATGTTTGGTTTGCTTTACTAATAAAATTCTTCGTTAGACGACCAAACAATTTAAAGTAAGCACAAGTTCACGGGTTGGATT